AAGAATGATTTTTAAGCCTTGAGACAATTGAGACATGGATTGTGAATGTGAATGGGAAAGAAAATATTAAAGTGTCTTTGAACGGGGTATGGTAGTAGGTTTGAGTGTGTCAAGAACTGCAACACTGCTGGGTTTTTCACACTCAACAGTTTCCTGTATGTATCAAGAATGGTCCACCACCCAAAGGACATGTAGCCAACTTGACAACTGTGGGAAGCACTGGAGTCAGTATGGGCCAGCATCCCTGTGGAACGCTTTCGACACCTTGTAGAGTCCATGCCCTGACGAAATGAGGGTGTTCTGAGGGCAAAAACGGGTTGCAACTCAATATTAGGAAGGTGTTCCTAATGTTTTGTACACTCACTGTATATCTCCCCAACCCTAACCTGGATCAGTTTCAAACTCTGGGCCTAACCATAACTTCTGACACTGCCGGATCGAATAGCCACATCCAAAGATGTATGCATCTATAACTGCATCCCTCACATTGATGTAGCCTGGTTAGCGCTCAGAACCTGAACTTGTAGTACTAAGTTAGTCGGCCATTCACAACAAGCTAAACTGTACTAGGCCCAGACCCTTCACTTCAAGCTACAGTAACCAGTCAGCCCCCCCCCCCCCCCCCCCTACTCAGCCTGGGTGATGACACCCACCTGGCCCGATGGCCAACTCCAACCCCAGTCCCCCTGGCACCAATGCCTCCCTGCTTCACTGGGGCCTGGAAGACTAGAGGAGAGAGAGACAGTAACGGGGTCAACGACAGACAAAATGTTCCATTTGACGAGCTCCAGAATCACACAGACAATTTTTTATTTTATTTTTGTCATTTAGCAGACGTGCTTATCCAGAGCAACTTACAGTTAGTGAGTGCATACATTTTTCCTACTGGCCCCCTGTGGGAATCGAACCCACAACCCTGGCGTTGCAAGCGCCATGCTCTACCAACTGAGCTACAGGAGGGCCTCTGGGCAAGAGAGAAAAGTGTTCCGGAGTGTTTCGGTCCGGGGGATCGAGTTTCGCCGAAGAGTGGGCTCTCACCTCCTCCAATGCACCGAGGGAGGAAGCTAGCGAAGCAAATGAGATTCAACGAGATGGGTTAGAATCGTGATTTATGGATTATTGTTTCCGATGTGTCGCCAGAATGTTGACTCCTGTTTTCTTAATCTCAACTTTCAAATGCAACAGTTTCTTTCGTTTTACTATGGTAAGGATGACTCCAATACATTGATATACACTACAGGGGAAAAGAAAAGAAAACAGACTAGCAGGCCTACATGACAACCGAATAGGCTTCAGCTGGAAATAATAGATTTTAAATAAGAACAAAATAATTTGATCCCGGAGTTGACAAGAGACACCAGGAGTTAGTGTGCTAACTAGCAACGAGAATCAACAGAAAACACAGAAGAACTGAGATCGCATACCCTACCATCACACAGTCATGACGTCAAGAGCGTTCTGTCCATTCATCATGGCCCTTTCATCCTGAACCAGAACGTAGGACTATTCTTATATTGACTGCCGAAGTAATTAGCTGGCTTTAGCACTTCCAAAAGGCTGCCTGTTGTCGCCTGCCTGGCTACTGTAAGGATGGGATGTCAGGACTGAGTGTCAGACTGTGATGATGGGAGTAACTGCTGGACTGGTCACTGCTATGGGCCTGAGAGGACTTTGACTGTCAAGACCAACACTTACAGCTGGACAGTCTGTGTGTGTGTGTGTGTGTGTGTGTCCAGACCAGGACACATGAGACTTGACTCTGTACAGAAAGAGGGAGACTCTGAAGCGCAGCACCTGCTTTCAATCGGCCAGACCAACACTGGGCTTTATTAAGTGTCAGTCAGCCGGACTGAGTTCTGGTAGGCTGAGGAGACTAAGATGGAGAATGTCATTAGATTGGACAGAGAGGCCTGCTGTGAATGGATCTCAATACACAAATACACTCACTTAAACATTGTGCTGTGGTGGGGGGAGGGGACAGGAGGGAGGAGGGGAGGGGACAGGAGGGAGGAGGGGAGGGGGACAGGATGGAGGGAGGGGAGGGGGACAGGACGAGGGAGGAGGGGAGGGGACAGGACTGAGGGGAGGGGGACAGGAGGGAGGAGGGGAGGGGACAGGACTGGGAGGAGGGGACGGGGACAGGAGGGGGGGGGACAGGGAGGAGGAAAGGAGGGACAGGAGGGGAGGGAACAGGAGGGAGGAGGGGGGATGGGACAGGAGGGAGGAGGGGATGGGGACAGGAGGAGGAGGGAGGCGGAAGGGGACGGGGAAGGAGGGAGGAGGGGATGGGAAGGAGGGAGGGGGGAGGGGAAGGACGAGGGAGGAGGGGAGGGGACAGGATGGGAGGAGGGGAGGGGACAGGAGGAGGGAGGAGGGCAGGAGGGGGAACAGGATGGGGAGGAGGGGAGGGGACAGGGCGGAGGGAGGAGCGAGGGGACAAGGAGGGAGGAGGGAGGGGACAGGATGAGGAGGGGAGGGGCAGGAGGGAGGAGGGGAGGGGGAAGGAAGGAGGGAGGAGGGGAGGGGAAGGAGGGAGGAGGGAGGGGGGGGACAGGAGGGAGGAGGGGGGGGGACAGGAGGGAGGAGGGGAAGGATGAGGGAGGAGGGGAGGGGACGGGATGAGGGGAGGGAGGGGAGGAGGAGGAGGGAGGGAAGGGAGGGAGGAGGGGGAGGGAGGGACAGGAGGGAGGACGGGGACAGGAGGGAGGAGGAGGGGGGAGGGGACAGGAGGGAGGAGGGGATGGGACAGAGAGGAGGGAGGGGAGGGGACAGGAGGGAGGAGGGGATGGGAAAGGAGGGAGGAGGGGATGGGACAGGAGGGAGGAGGGGATGGGACGGGGGATGGGACAGGAGGGAGGAGGGGATGGGACAGGAGGGAGGAGGGGATGGGACAGGAGGGAGGAGGGGATGGGACAGGAGGGAGGAGGGGACCAGGGCCTGTAGTTATAAAGCGTCTGAAAGTAGGAGTGGTGATTGAAGTGTGGCGAAGGCCTAATAACACCTCCAACAGTATTGGAAAAGGGACATATTTAGTTGGTTGTTTCAAAATATGGTATGATCATCTTAAAACATTTCCGGCTTAGACTTTTAGGGGTTAAAGTGCAGACTGTCAGCTTTAATTTGAGGGTATTTGCATCCATATCGGGTGAACCGTTTTGAGATTACAGTACTTTTTGTACATAATGTATTGTGTCATTTTGGAGTCACTTTTATTGTAAATAAGAATAGAATGTGTTTCTAAACACTTCTACATTAACGGATAATCCTGAATGAATCGTGAGTAATGATGAGTGGAAAAAGTTAAACGGACAAATATCATACAATAACATTACAATAACATTACAATAACAGGGGAGGTTAGCATTTTGGGGGGATTTGATATTTATGCCTCTGTATAATAATCTGAAACCCAACCAAAACAAACAGCAAATGCATCCAAAAAGTTTGTACAGTCACAACATTAATGTAGTCAGTTGTCGTGCTAGGAATATGGGACCAAATACTAAACTTTTTACGACTTTAATACACATGTAAGTGAATTTGTCCCAAATACTCTTGGTCTGTACCCCAAAAATGCTAACCTCCCCTGTTATTGTAATGTTATTGTAATGTTATTGTATGATATTTGTCCGTTTAACTTTTTCCACTCATCATTATTCACGATTCATTCAGGATTATCCGTTAATGTAGAAGTGTTTAGAAACATATTCTATTCTTATTTACAATAAAAGTGACTCCAAAATGACACAATACATTATTTAACATGAATTCCTATTGGACACAAAATAATCTGAAAAACAACCAAAACAAACAGCAATTGTATCTAACAAGTTTGTACAGTCACAAGCTTGATGTAATCATTGCGTCCTATTAATATGGGACCAAATACTTCACTTTTTACTACTTTAATACACAAGTGAATTTGTCCCAATACTTTTGGTCCCCAATAATGGGGGGGGGGGAGACAATGTACAAAAAGTGTTGTACTTTCTAAACGGTTCACCCAATATGGATGACAGTCTGCACTTTACCTCATAGTCATTGAATCATTTCAAATCCAAAGTGCTGGAGTACAGAGCCAAAATAACAAACAATGTGTCACTGTCCCAATACTTTTGGAGATCACTGTATATTAAAACTTTACAAATGGTCTCAGGTTGATTCATTCTTTACAATGTTTCAGCTAGTGTGTCCCAGCCAGCCCACCCAAACCAGTGTCTTAATGAGATGAAAACATCAAAAGACACCTCAGCGTTCTCACAGATCT